ACAGTTATCTTTTCAATTTCCAGTTATTTTACTGTGCTTGGCATAGTACTCAATCAACAATAGGAAATTTGCATTAACTATATTGTACTTGAGTTTCCATACAGGAAAAACACAACTACAGGATAAGTGCTTGAAGTATACATGTAAGAATGATTGCAAGATAGTATAATTCAGTAATATGTTATAAGAATGGCTTTCAAATTATTTTTGTATTACTATTTTTTTGTATTCTATACTCTAATACTCCAGACCCAGAATATCTTCTGCCCATTCATTTCAGGAATGAATTTCTTTCATATTTACTTCTTTTTAATCAAATATATTTGCTAAGAGCAATGGTTCATAAACCTCATATTGGATTGCAAAATTCAGTGAATTTTAAGTAGTCTATACTTCAGAATACCAAATTTCTATAATTTTAATGTGTTTCTCTGTTTTAGCATCATGTGTTTTTTTTTAAAAAAGGGACCTCATACAAAATAACAGTTTAAGTCTTCTCAATTTAATGGAGAAAGAATGAAAAGAAAGAACTCAGGGTCACTGATTAAACTAAAACAAGTGTGCTTTGGAACATATAAATGAAATATATTTTAAAAGCTTTCCAAGATTTACTTGAAAATAGATGGTACTAAGACATTCAAAAGATGGCATACTCCCTTTTTGTGGATTTATTTTTTTCCAATAGAAATTTGTCCACAAAGTGGTGACATAGTTGTGGATTTGCAATGCTGTTCCTCGTTTTATATAATGACTCAGCTTTTAAAGAGTAAATCTCAGATACTAAATGGCTCCTGCCTAATCTATCTGTAAAATATGTAAAGTTCATGAATTTGAATCATCATACCAACAGGTAGGAATATAAACCTAATTTGTAGAACTGAAAGAAAGTGTGTTTTGAGATGGCACAATTAACAGTAATATATTTTAACAGCTATGCAGTGGTTAGACTTCTGTAAACCTTATTTGAAAGTCTAGTTACAGAATACAAAATTAATACGGATTTAGAGCTTATGAAGGATGGTGAATATGTGAAATTGAAAAAAATTAAGAGAAAACAGACTTGTTCTCCAAATATATTTGGAGAAATATATATTTAAATTAGCATGATGTTAATTGAGAAAGTGAAGATTAGATATCTACTAGCCCAAAATACAAATACAAAAGTTTAAAAAATACTATGTATACATGTACTTACAGATGGTCCTTTCCTCAAATGATTCAACTTATACTTTTTGCCTTTCAGATAGTGTAAAATCAATACATATTAGGTATAAAACATACATTGAAATTTGCATTTTGATCTTTTCTTAGGATAGAAACGTGATCTATTTTGGAGTTAAGACTAATAGTTAAGCACAAAAGCAGGAGAGCAGACAACCAATATTTTAAAGTGTACTGCGTTGCCAATGCTTTTTGGATGCAGGTACTTGAAAAATTACATGGGATATTCAGCACATTATAAAATAAGCAACTTATTAGATGATGTACCAAACTGTAGACTAAAGATGTTTTCTGAGTGTGTTTAAGGTACACTTGTGTAAGCTATGATGTTTAGTAGGCTAGATGTAATAAATCCACTTTTGACCCATGGTATTTTCAGTTTTCAGTGGGCTGATCAGTATATAATTCCATCATATGTCAAAAAGTCATTTACATATTATCCTCACACACTGTATGTATATATGGATGCATGTATAAATGCACATGAATGCATATTTTTTAATTGAGTTTATTGGTACATTTTAGGTATACAGTACAGTTATATTCATTATTGGGATCTTGTACCTTTACATGACAGGTGAATGCATATTTGCAATGATATATATATACACATTTCTGTTTATATAGCTTATGACTATTTAAATGCATTTTCCTTTGAAAAGTGAAAAGACTAGTATTGCACAAGTTGTAATTGTTTGTTTTTATAAAAATCATATATCAAGGAAATTTATCTTTATGGCTTCTTTTGACATTTACTGGAATTAAAAGTTAGAAAAGCAATCATAGCACAAATAATTCACTTTTGACTTAAGATTTTCAGCTTCATCATAGGTTTAAGTTGTCCACCTGACCAGGGAAAGCACAGGTCTTTGAACATCTAGCATTTACTAGTATGACCTTGGAAAGCTGTTAAACTCACAAGTTTAACAAAACAATAAAATCAAATAAACAACCTGACACGTTATTGTAAAGGTTAAGAGAAAATACAGATGACAGGCAGGCAGACAGTAGTTAGGATTAGTTTCCTTTCCTGCCCTTGATGATCCTCTGCTTGTGCTTTTGCAATTATTTTCTCCTGTTTTTTAATGAATTTCTCTTCAAGAGTATTTATTCATTAGGGGATAGTTTAAAGGCAAGATATAAAGGCATTAAATGTTATAAATTCAGAACTATGCTGAAGTACTTTTTACAAATTTGTTCTCAAGAATGCAAGCCTCTAGAATGTTCAACTGTTTCATTTTAACTCTTGTTCCATGTCCTTCTCAAAGTCACTGAAAACCAAATCCAATATAGATATCAAATATTATTTTATTACCATACCTGCTCTAGAGAAATGATCTACTATTATTAAAATATGAGTAGAAAATTAAACATTATTTCTGCTATGGTAATTCTAAAACAGCTTGAAATTCTCAGGCCACCAAAGAATTTATTTAAATTCCTTTAAATCTATCCTTTTTCTCACACTTCTAAAAGGATATACGGAATTTTTAAAAATCACAAGATTAGAATTTCTACATTATAAAAAATTAATAAGGAGAAATGATTATAAATTAATACCAATAAAGCCATTGTTTAATTAACTTGGAATCACACATTCATTTATTCTAGAAACATTTCAGGTTGCAATTCAGAGTTCTATCTGTACATTTTCTGAAGTCTGAAAAGTCCTCTAAATTAACATGCATTTTTCTGCAAGGTGATTTGTTCTTTAATTTCTAAAGTAAATAAAAGTAAGTCGTATCTACTTAAAATCATAAAGGTTATTTATGAAAAAATGTAAAATAGTATAACAACATCATAGAAAATGAGGAAATACTGAAATAACTTTCTTTAAAATTAGTAATAAGACAAGGGTGTTCACTCTCACCATTCCTAGTATAGAACTAGAAATTTTAACCATGAAAATATTAACAGCTCTTTTCATGAAACTAGAGAAAACAATCTTAAAATTTATATAGAACTAGAAAATAATCAGAAGGTTCAAACCAATTCTTTGTAATAAAAGCAAAGCAAGACTCACCACAATTCAATACTTCCACTTATAGTATAAGGCTATAGTGATTAAAAACAGTATTGTACTGACAAAAAAAATAGACATTGATCAACTAAACTCCAGGAACATTCAGTATCTGCTCTGCCGCTGAGTGGCCAAAGACATGGATTGAGAAAATATAGGCTCTCTAACAAATAATGCCGGGAAAAGTCATTATTCACATGCAGAAGAAGAAAGAGAAAAACTGTATTTCTCACTGTGTAATAAAATAAAATGGATAAAACCCTTAGATATAAGAACAGAAACACTGAATCTACTGGAAGATAAAATTGGTAAAACTTGTGAAGGTATAGGCATGTGTAATGACATTCTGCACAGAACCTCAATTGCAAGAAATAACACCAACAATCAGCATATGGGTTTACATAATATTAAAAGGCACCTGGATGGCAAAGCAAACAACCAACAAAGTGGAGTCAACTTACAGAATGGGAAAAATTCATCAGCTATTGCTCAGAGGACTAATATCTAGAATATTTAAAGAACTAAAAAAGACCACCTCCAAAAATAAAAGACCAAATCAAAAAGTGGGCAATTTAAATGAATAGATTTCCCTCTAGAGGAAAAATAAAAGCCAGGGAGGTAGCTCAGTGGAGCTCACCTGCCTGCCAAGTGCAAAATCTGAGTGCGATCCCTGGTGCAGGGGAGGGTGATAGGTTTATGGAAAAAGGTTCAACATCTGTGGTCATTGTAGAAATACAAGTCAAAGCAACCCTGAGACTTTATCTTACACCAGGAAAAATGGCTATCATGAAGAACTCAAAAATCAGTAAATACTGGGGAGTATGGGGGGGAAGTGAACACTTCCATATTGTCAGGAATATAAACTAGTACAATTACCATGGAAATAAGTATAGAGATTCCACAAAAATCTAAAAATAGAAATTCCATTTGACCCAGTTATACCTCTTCTGGGCATCTTTCCGGAAAGGTATCATATTATAGTGATATATATATCTATATATCTATATATAGATATATATATCCCAAGAATAGGAAGAAGTGTTAATAGCTAAACCTTGGGAGCAGAGTAAATGTCTATCAAGAGATAATGGATATAGCAAATGGGTTATGTATACACATAATACAATACTAATGTAGCCATAAATAAGGACAAATTTGAGTAATTTGTAGAAAAAGTAATATACCTTGAGTCTGCAATGCTTAGTAAAATAAATTAGATATGCAAGCTTAAATATCACATAGTTTCTCTTACATGAGAAATCCAAATTATAAATAATTTGAAAGACAAAATAGAAGAAAGATGATAGGAAATAGATATTTTGGACATGGGAAGAAGACCTAGGGATGGGGAAAATGGGCAGGATGGGAAGAAAAAGGGAAGTCACAAAATCAAGATGCCATACAGATATGTGGTGAATACATTCGTTTTGTATCAAAAACATATGCCAATAAAAATGTGCCAAGTGAAATATGGTAAGATTTTTTGCTAGTTTAACTGCATATATATATCTATATATCTATAGATATATATATTTTTTTTTTGTACCAGAGATTGAACTCAGGACTTTGCACTTGCAAGGCAGGTGCGGTGCCACTGAGCTAAATTCCTAGCCCTGCATGTACTTTTATACAAACTTAAGTTCAGTTGGTCTACCCTGAATTTATGTAAAAGATTTGGTGGATTGAACAAGGGTGCAGCTGCTCTGATTCCAGCACTTCACTTCCACCCATGACACAGTAATTGCAGGCCAGTACTCACGGCGGACATGATGAGCTCTCCTCCTAGGTTCTGGATCTCCGCTTTAACTTGACTGCAGATTTTCAGTTGGTGGGAGTAGAATTTAATCTGTTCCAGATAAGCCAGTAAATCCTGTTTGCAGGATGGGTCTGGACACTAAATATGCATCAAAGATAGAAATGAGAAGAACAAAATAAGAGCCAGAACAATGCGAGTAAATATTGTTATTGCAGATACCGGATGTTTTTCAGTGAGCTCAGTTTCTCATAACTAGCCCAGGTAGACTCTGATAAATTTCCACTTCTAGAATAGTTCATTCACTTTTCACCCTTAATTATTTCAGCTCAGGCAAAATAAATGTTCAAGAAATTTTCCAAAATTTAAAGTTATCAAAAGCAACTGTCTTCAATTTATGGTAAGCATAGAAGCTTTCATATTACCCTTCCATGAAAATCTGAAGAAATACTTAAACTGCAATTCTTCCCTTCACCTAGAATGTCTATTCAACTACTCCTTGAAGTCCATAGTCCTGCCCTGTTTATTTATATATGTACATGGAAAAAAATCATCTAAACAAAACACTTCATGCTCTATTACTTTTACCACTAAATGGCTGGGGATGTAGCTCAGTGCCTACCTCACAAGCGCAAGGACGAGGTCCTGAGTTTGATCCCTGGTATCAAAAAAAAAAAAAGAAAAAGACCTACTTTTACCATTAAATGTTGTTGAGGATTTACAGACAAAGGAAACCATGATCTAACAGGAGTTCAGAAACAGCACATATGCTTTAGGACTTTATTAAATTTTGTTACCGAAAGAAACAGTCGATACTGTGTTATCTTTTGTAAGGAACAGCTGGAAAACACTGTAGTTTTGCGCTTTATCATAGCATAGTAAATATCTTGGGTTAGGGTTTAGTCTTTACATTCCTTTCCCTAGGTAACAATTGCAGATCTTAAAAAATCTCCCTTAATTCCACTTTTGACATATTTTCCTAAGAACATGGAAATCTAGATATAATTTATATGCAAAGATATTCAATGTTGAAGTACTGAAAATGGCAAAATTTAGCAATAAATTTTCCTAAAATTTATTTATTAAATTTATTAAATTATTTATTAATTTATTAATAAATTTATTAAAATAAATTTTCCTAAGGCAATGGAAAGAATATGAAGGTTTACCTGTATCATATGGCATTACAGAATCTCAAAACGAAGTCTTCAAAGGATTATAGGAACATGTTTTTGGAACAAATAAGTATTTGATATTAAATATACTATTTTAATCAGACTACACAAAATATGGGTTTAAAACATGGTGGAAAATATGTTTTGATAAATATACATAATGCAATAGCTTTTATTTTCATCTTGTATTTTATATATCTTTGAATAAATATATGTACTATTTATTTAATTATTATTATTATTTACCCCGGCCCATATGTAATTATCAAATGCTATAATAACAAACTTTAATTTTATTTACCTAAACTTTAAATTAAGAGGTAGGATGAAAGACCAGAAAACACTTCGTTCATTTCTGCAGTTATCCTGGGGAGTCAAGTATTCAGTGTGCATGGGAGATGGGTTCCACAGCCCATATGGATGACACACAGCCCAACCTCATTACAGAAAATGACAAAGTATTTGCATGAAAACCATGTGAATCCTCCCCATATACATTAAATCACTGTTTGAAATACCCAGTAAATGTAAATGCTATATAAATAGTTGTTATTGCTTATAGAATACTGACCAAAAAAAAAAAAGTCCATAAAAGTTCAGTATAATGCAAATATTGTAGGCTTGGTTTGGCTGCTGTAGTTTGGGAATAATGTCACTCTTCTCACTGACAGTTACTTTGTATACAGTAAGCAGTTACTAACCACTCCGTTTAGTAAATTCATTTCCTAATTGACATTTTTATTTGTAAATTGTGAGTTTTACAGACCAGCACCAATATAAATTTCCTGATAAATTGAACTTCCAAACCAATAATTAGATTCTTGACCAACAACTAATTCTGCAATCATTCAAGTTTAAAGAAAAATGCAGTTTCTCTCAAGAGGCTCTCTCAAGGCTGTGGGAGAAGAATGGCTATGATTCCATTAAGGAAAGGATGAATCAAATATGAAGAAAGCTTTAACCTGCACTTCTGAAGTGAAAAGTTGCTTGATAGAGATTTATCCTTCAATTATAGAATTGATGAAAATCTTGGTTATATTAAAAGATAGAAGCCAGTACTATAAATGCAGCAGAAAAACAAACAAGTAGCAAATTTTCATAAACAAATATGTAGTAAATCCCCATAGTAGTAAAAGCTATTAAACCTTTCCTTCTCATTGATATTCATAAAGCCTTTCTGAGTGTTTTTTATTTTGGGGTTTTTTTTTGGGGGGTACCAGGGATAGAACTCAGGTCCTTGCGCTTGCAAGGCAGGCCACCCAACTGCTGAGCTAAATCCCTGGCTTTCTGAATGTTTTTTAATTGACATGTAGTATTTATAGATATGTGAGGTAAAGATATATATAAGTATGCATATATATGGTGTAATGATCAAGTAAATAATTTGCATTTCCATCTCCTAAATATTATTCTATGTTATGGTGAGCCTTTATGGTGAGCCTTGACATAGGCACAGCCATGATTGAACTTCGAGTCACCTCGGCGGCACGGACGTGCTGTCGCCCATAGCAACCGGCTACTTCAACTGGTGGTCTGACCTGTTGCCTAGCAAATGTAACCCATAATACTTGTTTTGTAGAACTCTGTGACCTTTGCAGTCAGCCATATCCTGTTTATACTTTTGGTTTCGGTTTTACCCTATGTATACCCCACCCTGAAAAATAAACCGGGCCTTGCTGCGGTAGAGCATGAGCCTGGAACTAAGTTCGTGAAACTGCTCTCCTGTTGTTCTTCCCTTGGGTTTGGGACCGGCTGGCAGGATTCTGACGTTGCGGCTCGCCACACTATGTCTCTGTGTTCATAGAAACAGAAGTGAAGAATTAATGATTTCCACATTATGAATATTCTTCTACTATTGTCCAAAGCTTTTGGCCATTTGTGATTCTTTTTTAGAAAAACATCTCTTTATTGCCTTTGTCCATTTTTAATTGAATCCTTGGCTTTTATTTTCTTGTTATTGAGTTGTAGTACTTCCTTATATTTTGAATATTATCTCTTTATCAAGTGCTTGGCTCACAAATATTTTTCCTAATCCATAAGTTGTTGTATGTTACACTGTACATTGTTATATTGTTAAACATATGTAGTTTTTTAAGCTCAAAAGTCAAATAGTGCTTTTGTACACCTTTTACATTTCTTTTCAGGTTAGGGTGATTATTATTAGAAATAATAATAAGAAGAATATCTCCTGGATTTCCAGGAAGGGTCTCAAATGGGGTGGTCCCCCCTTTTATACTTTTATATGAAAGCAAAAGAAAAATTTACTCCCTAGATTTCTAGAACATTACTGCCTTTGATTTCATTTTTCCCAGATAAAATTTCCGTAAAATAAGTTTAAAGCAATCCTTCCAAGGACTTCTTGGCAGATCAAGTGGTAGGTAGGCTATCATAGCAAACTTTTGGTTATCATTTCCTATTTTATTAAAACAGAAGATGTTGACTAGGACACCTCTTAGCTCTTTAATGCATGGATTCTTAAATTTTGAATTCTATAATCACAAAGACATCTACTAATGGTCAACGGAAGGCATGTCAGCTTACATCATTTTCTCACATTAAAGTAGTTTTTACTCCTCTAGTAAGAAGACTCAGGTAGCAACACAGAATACATCATTTAGAAATGAGAATAGTGAAAAATATTCATTTACTTTCAGTTGTATTTTATGAGAGAATTAGCAAAGTGGACACTTTACAGAATTTTATTCCATAATCTTGGCTTTTTTTTTTTTGCCTACACTGGAGTAAAAACTTTATTTAAGACATATTTAAAATGACTTTTGCAATTACAGATAACAGCTTAAATTTTGCTATGCTGGCAAAGTTTGTTATTGAAAAGTATTAGATGTCATTGTGAGTTTCAAGAATAGTAATTTTAAGCAATTAGTGGCAATAAAGGCACACCATGCCCATGACTTTTTCTTTCCCAAAGGGCTCATTTCTCCACCTATAATTCAGCTCAGGAGCTGTCTCATTTTACCTTCTTCAAGGTCACAGATCATCAGTAATCCTATTGCTTACTGTACTTGTATTATCTCTTTTTCAGGGTGAAGGTATCAACATAAAATATCAAAACAAAAGTTGTCCTTCATCTCTATAATCCCTTTTCTCCTTCTCCACATTTCTTATTTTCTCCAAAATCATGTCTTTTAAAAATATTTCTTTTTTATAACGTTTTGTGGATGGGTTTGTGGGTGGGGTGGGTTAAGGTTCCGATTTTGTTCTTTGCGTTGCGGGGGTGGGCTGGCCAAGAACTCAGTGATTTTTCTGTGTACCAAGTTCTGCCTAATTCATGTACAGGTGGTTCTAAAAATAAAAGAAAAAAAGGATAAAGAAAATGTGTGCTTTTGTATAATGGCCAGAACTTTATTATGTGACAGTATCAGCACTGCCTCAGTTAAAGGTTTAATTTTTGTTTAAACCTAGGAGTGCAACAACAGTTTTACCACAGTCTGCACTTGAAGAAGAAAAAAAGTATTCGACCAACATTTTTTTTTTTGCCTACCTTATTGTTTTTAATGCATTGAGAGGTGATTTAGTTTATGTTTTTGGAAGAAGCTCCAAATAGTTATTGAATATCTCAATCCTACTTAAGTATCTAATCAACATCTCACCTTACAAACCCCAACTATGTCCTTCTTGGTCTTCCCTACTATAAAAACTATTACTATAGTTGATATATGGTTTGACTGTATTTCTTCAAATGTCCTGTAATGCAATTCAATTCTAATTGTGAATTATTAAGAGGGTGGAATCTTAGTTCTACTGTGGTGTTTAGAAATAGAATCAGCAGCACATGGTTAGGTTTCAGTGATAGTCAGAGTGAAGCTCCCATCATTGAATACTGGCATTACAAGAAGAGGGTGAAAAACCAAAAGAGACATGAGAAATAGTGTTTCTAGATTCTGCCAGGAAAAAAAAAAAAAAAAGACACTCACCAGATTTGGAACCTTGAGCTTCCAAATCTAT